GACTTGTCCCTGGAGGTTAAAGGCAGGAATGCCCAGTCAGCAGCCGGCGAGGGAGGCACAGCGGTCTTTTTTTGGACAGGAGTCCCTCTTCCTGGCAGCGGGTGTCCCCCACCCTGAGTTCGAGGAAAAGCCCACAAAGGGATAAGTTTATGGAGTTCAGTAGGTCTGGGGTGCATTGTTTGGGATACAATGCCGGGACTGTCTGGAGCCAAACCCCCAGATCAAACACCAGGGTGGGCTGCCCATGACTGGCTGGCAGCCAGACCGATAGGGACATGTCTGGGCACGCGTGCTCTAATCAGTCACCCGCCCGCCGGCCTGAGTGCCTGGGGAATAAGGAACACTGCTTGTTTAGTCTCTAGGGACATCCAGCCCAGAGTCCAGGGTTCCAGTTTGTCCCAAGCTTTTTGTTATAACCCTTGCGTCCATTTCCTTAGTTTACTACATATGCACGAAACATGCAAACACACAACTTGGGGAACACAAAAGGATAGCAAGGTGATCAAGAAATGATTTCCAAAAAGAATAGGTCCTCTGGGGCTTTGATCATAACAACATTTTGTCATTAATGGAACATCTCCAAAATCTTAAATTTACTCACCGTTCTTTCCCAACATGCTGCTGTTCTTTTTTCTGTTGAAAACAAAAGCAGATTGCAAGAATTGTGACATATAAACTAGCAAGAAGAAAAGCCAGAACTGTGAGATAAGATGCAATTACCTTTTTTATTTCTTATTCCACGGTGAAAAACCCCCAGAATTTCACGGTTTAAACTAAAAATTCAGAGAAAAAAAGTCAGAATTGTGAGGGAGATAGTTAGAATTGCGAGATAAAGTCAGAATTGTAAGAATATAAGTTAAAAATTCACAATTACTTATTTTTTCATGGCAGAAATGGGCTTCCGTACTTTTCCATGTAGTCTGACAGTTCGTATTGTGACCGCATCTGTCAAGCTACAAAATGACGAGAGAAAAAACAACAACAACAACAACGTAACTATCAAAAAAGTAGAAGTAACTATCAAAAACAATCTTCTGAAGTCATATGCCTACTTTTCTGCAGTTCTCAAATCTAATTCTCTGTTCTTTGTATTCAAACTGAGAGACTAATCAAATTCCACAGAGTTAAAATCCAACTGATGTTCTTTTTGTCAGGATAAAGGTGAATATTTATTGAAAGGAGGTCAAGGAAAGGTACTGTGTGGAGAGAAGAAAGGTGACAGATAGTGGCGGAAAACAAAAGATAAGCTTTATTGTTTTTGTTATAAACTCACTGTCTATCTATTTAGTCCACTGGCAATGACCTTCACGTGTTTTTAACGAATAAATATGGTGTTTAAATATAGTTGAAATGTTGCAAAGTCATAAAGCAATTTCCATTTAAATTGGAATCGTGCTTTTTAATGTGTTTTAAGAACCCTGTAAAGCCTGTTTTTGTTGAGTATCGATACATCAGGTTTTTATGGATATTATTAAAGTCTGACATAGTGAGAATATGGAGGAAAAAAACACCTCCATTTTATTCAGAGACTAAAACTGAGCAAAATTATACAATATGGTGCAGATCCTGATATTCATGTCCAAAAAGTTGTTTCAAAGTTTCAAAGATGAAATTCTGATGCTTATAAAGTAAATTAATGAGATCTTTATGCACTATAGCAGATACTTCACTATAGCTCTCCAATAATATGTCTTAGTAAAATGAGATTGAAATGATCAAAACATAATGCAGTGCAATCCAATGATGATTGAGAGACGAAGAAACGTTTCTCAAAAGCCCGATGATCATATTTGAGACTCGCTGATTTTTCAAAAAAATTGATGTATGATAATCAAGCCAAAAGTGTTAATCTTGAAATATTACTAACAGTAACAAAGTTATTATTATGTGGAAATGTTCAGTAGCTTTTTTTGTGTTGTCTAAACAAGCATGAAAAATATTCACTCAACTAAAAAGTGTGACAACTAGCCCCGGTCTCCCCTATGATGTAATACTGTTGACATTTTCAACACTTTTTATTGTTACAAGAATGTTCTTTGTTTTCTCCCATCAGATTATCTGAAATACTTTAGATTATTGGAGAGTTCCTTTATTTTGCGTTGTATTTGAGGCCTTTAAAGCTCAGGAGAATTCTTGTTGCTCAATAGCAGTAGGGTGTTCTTGCATATGGCAGGCGAACCACATGTCCTTCCAGATGCAGATCACCATTATACCAAGAACAATGGTTATCAAACAGCGCCGTTCACTCCGAGCTGCTGTAGATGTTATGTTAGATTAGATGCCATATGCTCATTTATAGTCTAGAGGGAGCAGGCACAAAACTCGGAAGTGCTTTTGTGGGCTGCAAAAGAGAAACTTTCACTGACAGTGTAGTAGTCCGAGCAACATTGACGTGAATAAAACAAACAGAGCTATTGTGAAGCTCAATTGGCTCATTTGACATTCTGATGAAACTATTTTTGGTAAAAGGACTCAGCAATCGGAGAAAAGGGAACTAGACAAAAGAGGAATTTGTGTCTGTAACATATCGTGGCACAGAAATGAGCAGGTTTGGAGAAATGTAGCATTGCATCACTTGCTCACTAATGGATGCTCTGCAGTGAATGGGTGCCGTCAGAATGAGAGTCCAAACAGCTGATAAAAACATCACAATAATCCACACCACTCCAGTCCATCAGTTAACATCTGGAGAAGACAAAAGCTGTGTGTTTGTAAGATACAAATCCATCATCAAGATGTTTTTAACTAAAAGTCCATAATCCATAATAACGCTTCCTCCAGTGTAAAAGTGGTCTGAATCAGGAGAGAAATCTGCACAGATCAAACAGTCCAAAACCGCAAATGTGTGGGTGGATTTTGATGTGAGAGACAACAAGAGATGGACTTTTTCACTGGAGGAAGCGTTATTATGGATCATGGACTATTTTAGCCAGAAACCACAAGCAAAAATGCATTAATGATGGATTTGTTTCTTACAAACACACAGCTTTTGTCTTCTCCAGATGTTAACTGATGGACTGGAGTGGTGTGGATTACTTGTGGATTATTGTGACGTTTTTATCAGCTGTTTGGACTCTCGTTCTGACGGCACCCATTCACTGCAGAGCATCCATTGCTGAGCAAGTGATGCAATGCTACATTTCTCCAAATCTGATCTCTACATCATGGTGTTACTGTTTCAAAAGTGCTATTTAAGTCAGCATCTTCATCAATTAGTCATTAGGTTTATCATGTGCTGAATCAGAACTTTGAATAGTTTGAAATCCTCAAGCGGAAAGTCACAAGAGAGAGAGAGTGAGAGCGAGAGAGAGAGAAAGAAAGCAAGAGAGAGAGAGCAGGGTAAACACGCCTCCCTCTATAAAATGTGGATGTTAGTGTGGTCACTAGATTAATTTCATCAGAAACTGGACACTGAAGCAGCAGCTCATCTATATGAAGAGAGCAAGATACTGAAGAGGACATTCTATCAGTCCAGACATGACCATACAGTGCAATAAATTCAGAATTATTTATAATGTTTTATCTGGAATCTCGCAATAAAAGTGCAAAATGGACAATGTTCTGACAGGAACTTTGTAGACGAGACGATGAAGGCTCTCAGGTATGAGATGGCACACTTCCTTCTTATCAATATCAATATATTTTAATATAAATATTAGAATAAAACACCATCATGCTGATCTTATACTCATTATTTGGAGACATTTAAATTAAGCAAACAAATGAAAAGTTAAAAATTGTGTTATTTGAAGCTATTTGTATGCTATATGTATTATACTATATATATGTACTATAATACTATTTAGTATTAAGTTACTATTTGCCGTTTATGCTTTGCAGCTGCATGCACTTGTCAATGTGTGAAGATTATCAACAAATAATCATGTAAAAATGTATGTATATTATGTCTATGTAGAGCATTTGTCTGTATATGATTTTGTAATGATTAAATTGTGACTTAATTTGATTCATACTGTACAGTGATATCATTTAGAAACCATTGTTTATGTTAATGTAGCCAACTCTGAAAGAAATTGAAGATAGCAGTTCAAAATAATATGTTTATTGTTTGGTTTGTGACTGCACTGGCATATAGATGGCCTCAAAGCTAACAGAAGTGGATTAGAAGAACAAAACAAAACTCTTGTTTTGATTCCTTCGCTCTCCTCGGGCAAATTATTCAAACAAAAGCCCTGCCCCTTTCACCGCATAACTTAAAGGGATAGTTCACCCAAAAATGAAAATGTGATGTTTATCTGCTTACCCCCTGCAGGGCATCCAAGATGTAGGTGACTTTGTTTCTTCAGTAGAACACAAATGATGATTTTTAACCCCAGCCGTTGCAGTCTGTCAGTCGTATAATGCATGGCAATGGTAACAGAATCTATGAGAGTAAAAAAAAACACGCACAGACAAATCCAAATTAAACCCTGCTGCTCGTGACGACACATTGATGTCCTAACACACGAAACCATCGGTTTGTGCCAGAAACCGCGGTCTTATCGCGGTTGTGAAATAAACACTAACGATGTCATTATTGATTAATAAATCAAGGAGTGTTTCTTAATCATTAATTAAGAGAAATTTGTATTATATCGCCGAAAAATACCTCATTCCAGGTGTCTAAAATCGGTGTCTAAAAAAAGTTTTTCTGTACGTCCATCCATACAGCTTATAAACGTCAATTAATGTTTTTTAGATGTAATATTCTCTTTGTTTATCTTATTTTTTCTTTATGTAATGTATGTAATTTTATTTGTTTATATATGCGCACGCGCATGTGTGTGTGTGTGTGTGTAATTTATTTAAATATATATATTTATATTATATTTAAATTATGCTAAATGTATAAAATATTATATTTAAAATACCTAAAAATATAAAATAAACTAGGAATAAAAATAAATTTTATGTAGGGCTGTGCAATTAATCGCATGCGATAGTCACGCGGATCTCGCCGGTTCTGTGATCAGTAGTAAATCACCATCACCTGCTTTCAGATGGAGCGGCATTTAATACACAGAGCCGTAGTTCACTGACAAGCTAGGCAATATCACGTTCATAATCGAATGCGACAATCAATTGCACAGCCCTAATTTTATGTATATAGTATATTTTTTATTTCTACTTTTATATCTTTTAACAGTGACGCTGATTGTTCTGCTCCAGATATATATTCTTTGACACGCCTCATTTATGATATGCATTTTATTTTGCAGGTGTACGTGAACTACGAGAACAGCTTAGGGGCTTCCGTCTAAGAATTGCAAGAAAAAAAGTCAGAACAGGGTTCCCACGTGTCCTACTATATATATGTGTATGTATATATATGTATGTGTGTGTATGTGTGTATATATATATGTATGTATGTATGTATGTGTGTATATATATATATTACTTTAGGGCGTGATCCTTGTCTTTTATTCCCGCTGTAATTAAATAGAAAATGTCCTGGAAAAGTCCTCGAAGTCCTGGAAAGTGATCACTGAAAATGAGTGGGAACTCTGCAGAATTGTGAGAAAAAGTCGACAACAAAGAACCGTAAACATGCAAATTATTCAAATATTGAAAAAAAAAAAACAATTGTCCTTTTTTTTTTTGCCATTCTGAAAAAAAAAGTCTTGAATTGTAAGAGGAAAAAGTTGCAATTAAATTTTTTTTATTTTTTTTTATTTAAAAATAAAAACGCTTGCCACAGTTCTCACAATTCTGACTCATTTTCTTACGGTTGCGAGTGTCTCACAATTTTCTCTCTCTCTCGCTCTTTTTTTTATTTTTGCTCAGAATTGCATTAATAACAAACTAAATACAGCTTCAAAACATACAAGCAAATATAAAGCAATAAAGAAACACATTATACTATCTAAAAGTTGTCCAGACAAGGGCAGTCAGTGAGGTTTTTTTTCTCTGTGTTATTGCTGTTTGATTATTACTGATGATGTAATCGACAGCGGCAGCTCTGATAGGCTGCATTCGCACTAATGCATTGGATTTTTTTTAATACTAACCCTCATCTTTTTGAACTGGTTTTCTGTAATAGGGTGTTGCTGCTGTTGACATCGGAGAGCTGTTGCGAGCGTGAGGAGACGGCCATACCGTTCGGCTCCACGCTGAAGGACTGCAGACATCTGCTGGAGAGTGCCAGAGAGCTCAGCCTGCACATTACAGGAGTCAAGTGAGTCTCGCTAGAGTTTTGAGAGAATTCTCAATACGACTGGAGTCATTTATGAATTACATTAGCCTCAAAGTGTTTGGACATGTCACCGTTTCTAATGTCTTTGTAGGGGTGTGTGATATGTATTGTTTTAACAATGTGGAGGCTGACATTATAGAGTATGTCTCTGATTTTGCACACAAAAAAAAAACAGGCATTGAGAGTACAGCCGTTCAGTAAAAAAGAAGATAATATAGTCCCAAACAAAGCAGCAATGAATCAGTGATTCATTCGTTAAGATCAAATTGGTTTAGTAAATGACTCAACGACTTGTTAAGACTTGCCACCACTTACTGGCAGTTTTAGGTTAAAATATTTAAAGTATCATTTTGTTAAAAAAAAGTTTAATATTCAAAATATTATTCTAAAAACATTGATCTCATAGTAATATTTATGCAACTGTAATTGCAGTGTATGTACTACTTAATGCTGATTCTGTGCCACTTCTGCAATGGAAAAATGGATTTTGTTGATACTGATTAATTTGATTGGTAACAGTCTATAGTGTCTTATTATTCTAATTGAATTTGATTAAATGTATAAATTTGACACAAAAGATGATCCATAGATCTAATAAGGATAGAAAAGGCCCTTATAAAGGTGAAAATGCGCCTGGAAATGAGTGTTGTCGAAAGTACCAATGTCGGTACTGAAATTGTAAAAATGTGACGATACCAGCATTTCCCGCTAGCATTGAGCGCTGTTGAGCGGATTCTCAAACAGCTCTGATTGGCCATTGTGTTCACGCGCTCAACAGATATGTCTGTGATTGGCTACACTGTTTATCGCTTCTCGCTCTTCAGCGAGTGCTTACACAGATACACACAGGAGCGTTTGAAAGCTGCGTCTGTCAGCGGATCCTTAATATATCTGCTCATACACGGATCCGCTGATTCAATATTATATCTTCAGTATTAAATTGTTTTATGATTACAAAATTTTAATTTACTGCGTTTTCTAGTACAAAAGATAATATTATGATCACTAATACCATATTCAATTACTCCTTTCTGGGAAATATACTTTACATCCGATACCAAAATAAGATCAATGGTACTTTCCCAACCTTCCCAAACTCTGGTAGATTTCTTTATAATTTGGGTTAAATGGAATAATTTACATAATGACTGCAGAGCATTGAAATTGTCCCCTATTCTTTTAGATATATTATGTGTTAAAATCACCCATAATAATACATTCTTTTGTCAGATCGTCATTATAATTTTTTAAAACATACTCAAGTCCCTCATAAAAATAGTGTTGATTGGGTGGAGGATAACATACTCCAAACAGCATTGGTTTAGTCGCAGGCAACAATAAATCCATAAACAATAACTCTTGCTCAACATTAATATCTAACGCATTAAAATGAATATCCGATCTAATAAAAATACAAACACCTCATTGTCTTTTACAATCCATCCTAATAACATTATAATTGTCTGTTCTAATTTCATTATTAGTTACTGACGAATCTAACCATGTTTCTAAATCCCCGCTTTACAATTCTAAAGTAAGCTGCAATGGAAAAATGGATTTTGTTGATACTGATTAATTTGATTGGTAACAGTCTATAGTGTCTTATTATTCTAATTGAATTTGATTAAATGTATAAATTTGACACAAAAGATGATCCATAGATCTAATAAGGATAGAAAAGGCCCTTATAAAGGTGAAAATGCGCCTGGAAATGAGTGTTGTCGAAAGTACCAATGTCGGTACTGAAATTGTAAAAATGTGACTATACCAGCATTTCCCGCTAGCATTGAGCGCTGTTGAGCGGATTCTCAAACGGCTCTGATTGGCCATTGTGTTCACGCGCTCAACAGATATGTCTGTGATTGGCTACACTGTTTATCGCTTCTCGCTCTTCAGCGAGTGCTTACACAGATACACACAGGAGCGTTTGAAAGCTGCGTCTGTCAGCGGATCCTTAATATATCTGCTCATACACGGATCCGCTGATTCAATATTATATCTTCAGTATTAAATTGTTTTATGATTACAAAATTTTAATTTACTGCGTTTTCTAGTACAAAAGATAATATTATGATCACTAATACCATATTCAATTACTCCTTTCTGGGAAATATACTTTACATCCGATACCAAAATAAGATCAATGGTACTTTCCCAACCTTCCCAAACTTGGGTAGATTTCTTTATAATTTGGGTTAAATGGAATAATTTACATAATGACTGCAGAGCATTGAAATTGTCCCCTATTCTTTTAGATATATTATGTGTTAAAATCACCCATAATAATACATTCTTTTGTCAGATCGTCATTATAATTTTTTAAAACATACTCAAGTCCCTCATAAAAATAGTTTTGATTGGGTGGAGGATAACATACTCCAAACAGCATTGGTTTAGTCGCAGGCAACAATAAATCCATAAACAATAACTCTTGCTCAACATTAATATCTAACGCATTAAAATGAATATCCGATCTAATAAAAATACAAACACCTCATTGTCTTTTACAATCCATCCTAATAACATTATAATTGTCTGTTCTAATTTCATTATTAGCTACTGAAGAATCTAACCATGTTTCTAAATCCCCGCTTTACAATTCTGAAGTAAGCACCTTACTTCATCGATCTTAGGTAATAAACTTCTTACATTTAAATGCACAAAATGTAAACCTTTTACAGTAAAATAGTCCTCAAACAAAGGTAGGATATGTTATTAGCTATGCTGTTAATATTTGGATCCATATCACTACATGACGCTTGTACCTGAGTTACGTTCAGCCAAGTACGATCCGGAATCCAAAACTCGACCTTTGTTAAAACCAGGACAAACTTCCCCATTAGGACCTGTACATGGGTGAATGTCTCCTGACAATAACAGGCGTAGGATGATAATGAATTTTCCGGCGCTGGAGTGGTGTTTTGAGATGGAGGGCCTGGACGAGTGCAGATAAATAATACTCCGCCCGTAACTATATGACATCACGTCGCATCGTTCTTCAGATAAAACATTAAAACACTGCTTATTATCAGAAAAGGCTTCACTTGATGGACACAAATTACAAACAATAATAAACCGCAAAGCCAAAATCATAATGCCGTGCCATCTATAATTACATATACTGTATATGTAATTTCCTATGTCATTGCATTAAACCAGTGGTACTCAAATTTTTTACAGCGGCGTACCCCCTGGGGCATTTAACATTCTTCTGCGTACCCACCTCTCTTCCACTTAGACCGCAGCTACACCTTTTCTAAGGACAATATTTGCCCCCTTAAATTGATTTACAGGTGCTTTGTTTTTTTTTTGTTTTTTTTACTTTATAGAGGCACATATTTTCTATCCTTATTAATTGCATGTCATGTTTTACGTTATATTCTTAACATTCCATTAAGTGTATTATTAATATAATAAATAAAGCAATAAATGATGGCAAATCGAAGTGATACTTGTAGATTTAAAAAATAAAACCACCAATAGGTGGCGGCAAGTCACTGTCTTAATGAGCCAGTCGTGGCGTCATTCATTCAGTATCGAAGCAAAATGCTGTAGTTATGAATGGGTTATTAATCACTGACTCTCCAAATCGTTCAAAGCCGCAGATTCCTTCACTAATGAAACACCGCTGTGTGTTGCTTGGAGACGCAACACCATATGATACGGATTTTGTTGGAACTATTATTTAATTGCAAAATATAACAAACATGACAATATTCTGTTTAAAATGTAGGCTACATTTAAAATGTAATGTTCACTTAATATTACCTTTTTTGTTGTAAAAAAAATAATGGCACATTTGCCATCGTTTGGATATTCAGGGAAATTTTCGTTCTTGCTCGTATCTTAAACATGAAAACAATAACACGCACAGAGTGTGTCTGTATCGAAGACAGTTTAAATCGATCTCAGTCAGTGTCAATATTTGCTCTTCATGCTATTAAGTGAAGATCTACTTTCAAGATACATTGAAAAGCAGCGCGATTTGCTTAAGCAGCATATTCAGCGGGCATCCTATCACATGCACGCTGCTTGTGTAGATGCAGTCAGTTTTGACCGCAAAAGATGAGGTAAGCTCATTGGATGGCATGTATTTGACCGTTTACGGCACTCCCATTTTCCTGTTTTTACATTTGAAGCGGCCTTTTGTCAGAAATACGGTTCGGTTTTAATGTTATTTTAAGTTGGGATAGAATTAAATGAATGCCAAAACTCAGAATTCTGTTCGTGTACCCCCCTCCGTCATCTCACGTACCCCAGTTTGAGAACCACTGCATTAGACATTAAAGCTAGTGTGTAAACAAATGATGATGGAGCTTTTCTCAGAATGAACTTTATTTTTCTCTAATGAGTCATGCTCAGTTACGCCAAGGACATTTATAAAGGAAGTAAATGAGGTATGTTTTGATTTCATGCTTTGCTCACAGATTCAACATTCCCAGTTGTTGTCAGGATGCACAAGCATTCTCTCGTGCTGTTTCTGACGCCCGCTGTGTCTTTGATATGGGGGTGAGTCATCGCTCATGCAGTCATGGATCGAATTCTGATCTGATTGTGCCATGAGCTTCCCTACTGAGCCCAGAGGGAATTATCTTTATTTATCTAAATGTCACTTTCAGTATTTATTTCCCCCTCGGAAACGTGTTCTAAATGAATCTGATCTTAGGAGGAGCTTGGCTTTGAGATGAGTATTCTGGACGTCGGAGGCGGCTTTGATGGAAGTGAGGCACAGTTAGACAAGGTACTGTATTCTGCTGTGCTTTTGTAAGCGATTTCTTGTATTTATGTGTTTTTCCCCCCGCTGAGCTTCTAGTGTTGTTTTTGTATGCAGGTTAACCAGATGCTGAAACCCATGCTGGACATGTATTTTCCTCTCTCGACCGGCTTGTCGCTCATCGCTGAACCCGGAGTTTATTATGTGTCATCTGCCTTCACGCTGGCCATGAATATAATCGCTAAGAAAACCGTGGCTCGTGATTTCAGGGGTCAACCTCACAGTGAGTACTAGTCAATATTTATATCAGATATTCATGATATACCGTGGGTTTTATTTTGCTGGAGATACATTTGGATAAATATTGAATCATCAAAAGGGTAAATAAATGTATGGTGACACTTTTTTATTTATTTTTTGCGTTTTACGTTACGTGTACACTATAGTGATAACAGTAAATGATGCATAATTACAACCAACCAACCCTAAACTAAACTAACCCTATTGTAAGTACATGCTGGTAAAGTATTATATTAATTAATTACAATTTTATTTATAGATATATTATAAAAATATCATGTTAAATTTTTTATATATATTTTCATTTATATTGAAAATTATTTGTAACATATTATATTACAATTTTATTTTGCAGTATCGCCCAATCTTAATGTAAATATTAAATAAAATCCCACTGCATGTCTCATAGGTGATACACTGATCATAATGTGTTTATTAAACTCATGTTTTTGTTTTTCAGATGCACTGTCTGCAAACAACGAGCCTGAGTTTCTCTACTACATGAACGATGGGGTTTATGGGACTTTTGCCAATAAGCTGCTGTGTGAAGATTCAATCTCAATGCCTTCGGCACACAAGGTAAATATTTCTCGCTTTCTCTTAAATTTAATGTGACATTGATCCAATGCATAAACATCAGCAAACATTTAAAGATAATTTTTTGTGTCTGCACCTGCATGAAAAGACATTTAAAAAAACATTTCATACATGCAATAGCTTTAAATACAACATACATCTGAGCATTTTTTTGGCTTCTGAATAAAAGCACTCTGTAAGACATGTTTCTACGATTATGTGTAGGGCTGTCAAAAAAAATTAGAATTTCGAATATTCGTCGAAAAAAAAAAAAATCCACATTCGAATGCAAAAACGTTGCATTCGAATTTTAGGTCTGCGTCAGCCGTCAGGCAGCCTTATCAGTGGCGCACAAAATGCAACGATGTAAGTGTCATTGCATTTTAATGCTTTTGTTAGCCTATCCAGTTGAACCCACAAGAAGCGGCGCTGCTACGTTGTTCATTCATATATTGCGGAAAACGAGAGCATCAGTGTGGAGATGTTGTTGCTTACGTCAAAACTGAAACCAAGCCGTTCACACAGAAGGCATATTTTCTAGAGGGACATCTATCAGCGTTGCACTCGCGCCTCGTACAAGAGAGCCGCATGTTTAGAAAGCCATGTAAAATTAAAAAAACATTTCATACATGCAATAGCTTTAAATACAACATACATCTGAGCATTTTTTTGGCTTCTGAATAAAAGCACTCTGTAAGACGTGTTTCTACGATTATGTGTAGGGCTGTCAAAAAAAAAAGTGAATTTCGAATATTCGTCGAAAAAAAAAAAAAATCCACATTCGAAAGCAAAAACGTTGCATTCGAATTTTAGGTCTGCGTCAGCCGTCAGGCAGCCTTATCAGTGGCGCACAAAATGCAACGATGTAAGTGTCATTGCATTTTAATGCTTTTGTTAGCCTATCCAGTTGAACCCACAAGAAGCGGCGCTGCTACGTTGTTCATTCATATATTGCGGAAAACGAGAGCATCAGTGTGGAGATGTTGTTGCTTACGTCAAAACTGAAACCAAGCCGTTCACACAGAAGGCATATTTTCTAGAGGGACATCTATCAGCGTTGCACTCGCGCCTCGTACAAGAGAGCCGCATGTTTAGAAAGCCATGTAAAATTAATGTAAGTTAAACTTTTAAAAAACATGTCAAGCCTTTATGGCGGTTGTTCCCCATCCCACTGTATCTCGTGTTTTTACTTTTGTGATTGGTTTTCGGTCCTTTGTATTAAACTATACATACATGCATGCATGGTGCTGTTTTTTTTCTTCTAATTGTTTAAGCAACTTTATTAATTATATATGGTTTTTAAACATTATGCACTTTTTTTCAAAGATAGTCGTGTTATTACGCTTTGAAGAAACGTGCATAATATTTTGCTCGATGCGCTCTCTTGTGGCCTCAGGAGAGAAGCCAAAAGCTTTTTTTCCCCCTAACTGAAATTATGCATTTTAAATTCGAATAGAATTTGAGTTTTGATAATATTTAAGTAGAAAATTCGAATTTAGTTTCTCAGTCATTTTGACAGCCCTAATTATGTGTGCGAGCTGCTTCTTTTGTTGGACCAAGAAAGATTTTAAAAGATTTGAGCATCATCTTCAGTCATTAAAACCATCACAGGCTAGTGCTTTAGTCAGTAGATTGTTAAAGCTGATCATGTGTAATGTGGTGTTTTGTCAGGAGGTGAGCGCAGAAGAGCCGCTGTTCTCCAGCAGTCTGTGGGGTCCGTCTGCTGATGATCTGGATCAGGTGGTGGAGCGATGTCTGCTGCCGGAGCTCAGTGTTGGAGACTGGCTGCTTTTCAGCAATGCAGGGGCCAACGGTCTGGGGGCCACATTCACTAACGGAGAGGAACACAAACCGGCCGTCTTCTACAGCATCACTGAATGCGACTGGTACAATGCCACTTTATCTGGAATTTTAAATCCGGTGCTTTTGTTTTGGTTTTTAATCAAGTTGTTTTTCCTGCTGCAGGCAACAGGTTCATAACTGTGGCGTCACTTTGGACTCGAGGATGAAGAACCTCTCTGTGGTACCATGCGGCTTGCAAGCAAACATATCCAAGGCGTCCGTTTCCACCCCGGCGTAACATAATGCCACTTATTAATGTCATTATCTCGACTGACTTTAAGCACTTAAGAACCTGGGATCTTCTAAGAAGCTTCAGTTGCTTTGAAGAAGTTTGGCTGGGACCAGAGCTGAAGAAGTGTTGTTGAACAGAACAACTTCATAGCCATCACAACTGATGGATAAACAGCAAATAGGTGCGATTAGCTTTAACAAATGAGCCAGTTGGCCTTTACAGATACATTTAATTATATTTAAGTCCGTTTTATAAATGTATACACACATAATATTTCCACTTACTAATGGAATCAGTCATGTACTAAGTTATTTATTAAACCTCAAGTCTAGTTTCATGACATCATCAGATGCTTTTAAAGAAACATGCACTTGTTTTTTGTTATTCGTATTACGAATATGATGTTTAAACTGGAAAATTGTGATCTTCGTCCTATTTGAACTGTTACAGGAATAGTTCAGCAGAGCACTGTGGTATGTTTTTGTGGACTAAATACAATGGAAACTTTGTAAACTGTTGAAATCTTATGTCCAAATGCAGAAATGCAAAATCTGCTGCAAATGTCCTCACCCTCAGGCCATCCAAGCTATAAATGAGTTTTTCTTCATCAGATTTGGAGAAATGTAGCATTGCATCAGTGTCTCAGCTATGGATGCTCTGCAGTGAATGGGTGCCGTCAGAATGAGAGTCCAAACAGCTGATAAAAACATCACAATAATCCACAAGTAATCCACAGCACTCCAGTCCATCAGTTAACAACTTGTGAAGCCAAAATCTGCGTGTTTGTAAGAAACAAATCCATCATTAAAATGATTTAATCTGTACATATTTCTCTCCTGATTCAGACGAGACAACCTTTTCACTGGAGGAAGCGTTATTAAGGATAGAGGACTCTTATTATGGCCAGAAGTAAAGGTTTGAAGTTAAAAATGTCTAAAGCCTTGTTTCTGAGAAACTGAACAAATCCAAGTTAATGCTTAAAACAAGAACAAATATCTGTCAGTGGGGAATGAAAAACTTGTTTTCCCTTTGAATTGAGATGATTTTTCTGAGCCTTTTGATGGATATTTGATCTTGTTTTAATCAAACTCGCTTCATTTTGTTCAGTTTCTCAGAAAACAAGGTTTCTAATGTCATTTTGCTTCTCAAGTAAATGCATCTTGATTTAGAAATCTTTAGATATCTGAATAAGTTTTTTGCAGTGTGATCAGAAGGTACAGTAAAAGTTATTTTTATATTCTAGTGGCTGGGCTATTATAGTTAACTAAAACCATTTAAAAAATATAAACAAAGTAAATGTCAACTGAACTGAAGAAAAAAATTTAATATGTATACACATACAGTATATATATATATATATATATATGTAATTTATTTATTTTTTGCTCTGAGAGGTTATCCTGGTTAAATAAAAAATAAAATAAATTTTATATATATTTTTTTACTTTTATTTAACCAGAATAACCTCTCTGAGCAAAAATTATATATATATATATATAATTATATTTTAAATAAAATTTATTATAATAGTATATCAGTGATACTAAAAGAACACAGTTTAGTGGTTAGGAGCTGAGGTATTTAAGCATTAAGCTAATTATGTTATTTATTGTTTTTATTTGTAAAATAAATTAAAAAGAAATGGAGATCTGTTGTATTTTTAAATGTTTCCTTATATTTGTTCTTTAAATTTTCTTTACTTGGTCTTAAAAAGTCTTTAAAATGTATTTTCATAAACCCAAAGTCCAAAGTAAAACTCTGCTGAGAAGCACTGATCTAAATCCTGCTAACAATAAAGATGCTTTACGTGTCGGTGTGATAGAAGCATCTTCTCTGTACCTGTGTGTGTTCTCAGGTGTGCTTTCAGGTGGGAGCTTTTGAAGTATGTTTTCTCACAGTCGGGATGGGTGCAGATGTGATCGCGGGGCCGTGACGGGACGGCTCCAGAGGTGGGGCTGTTTGCGGACGAGTCGCGGGCTGGAGCGGGAGCGATGGTGGTGAACTTCAAACCCAATGAAGGTGCTGTGACCGTTTGTTTAGGGGGCAGAATCACCACGACTGAAGATTTGGCCACAAACACCACAGACGCCAGAGGAGGGCTGCAGCTCACTGTCACTGGAAGCATCTGGAAGACTGAAAGTGCTGGCGAGTTTCCAGACGGAGAATCCCACAGCGCTGCAGCAGGGGCTGATGGGGGACCTGCTGAAGATCTGAGCGGATCACGATAGGTGTCTGACGTGTGCCGGATCACACTGACCGCTTGAGATCTGGCCTCAGGTGAAACCGTGACCCCTGACCCCAGGTGCAGGTCGCTGTCTGGGCTGTACGGTGGAGTCATGCATGACATTACCTAAAAAAATACAACCAGTTCATGACTGTTTCTACATAGGAATTACTGAAACCGGTTTGGCCTGATTACTGTATTTACATTTATGGGTGAATCTCACAAAAACATGTTCAGGTCATATTGTGCCATTATTTTCATGCATCTCTCATTATTGTAACCTAGATATTTTAGTTTTGAGTTTTGGCCGTTTCAGTCAGAATCTCATTAGATTACTGAAATTCAGTCTTTTTATTACTGTATTTTCCTTATTACTGTACTACAATGAGTTTTACGGCATACAGGTAAAATTACTACTGGACCTCACACTAATAGATCTCACCATATTTTCCCCGGTTAAGACAAATGTTTTGTATCTGTGTTCTGAAATGTTATGTTTAAATATGAAAATGAGGCATTAAATCATTAATGAGGCATCTAATTAAATATTCACTAATTTGCAAACATTTCCAGGACATACAGTGGGTACGGAAAGTATTCAGACCCCCTTAAATTTTTCACTCTTTGTTATATTGCAGCCATTTGCTAAAATCATTTAAGTTCATTTTTTTTCCTCATTAATGTACACACAGCACCCCATATTGACAGAAAAACACAGAATTGTTGACATTTTTGCAGATTTATTAAAAAAGAAAAACTGAAATATCACATGGTCCTAAATATTCAGACCCTTTGCTATTAATGAGGAAAAAAAATTAACTTAAATGATTTTAGCAAATGGCTGCAATATAACAAAGAGTGAAAAATGTAAGGGGGTCTGAATACTTTCCGTACCCACTGTAAATCTGAATGTTTATCAGTGTCATTTAATCACTTGGATATTATTAAAGTTTGTATTTTTATATTTTCTGTTTTCACTTTAGTTTTATTTGTCTATTTATAATGCTTATAATATGTCTATAGATTTTTTTCTTCTTTCAGTTTTAGCTATTTTAGGACATCAAGTTTTTTTCTATTTTTACACCAAGGTTTATTTTATATTTTATTTTATTTGAAGGAACAATGGTTTTAGTTGTAGTCTTAGTTAACTATAATAACCCATATATATATATATATATATATTTCCTCCAGAAATGGACTATTTGCATGACTTCACAAAGTAGAAATGCAAAATGTAATACTTTTTCAAATTATTTTACAACTTTATTATATTATGTAATAATAATGTTTTATGTTTGATACCTTTCTAAAAATCAAAACCGTTTTATAAAAATTATTGCAATTCATGATTTTAATCAATCTGAACACTGAAAAAAAAGGTTTATATATATATATATATATCAGGCAAATGAAACCCTTCAGAATATAGATAGGAATAAAACTGTACAGTTTAGTGAATGTAGGTGCTGTTGAAATGGAGAAACCAACTCACAGCCTTTAAAGATATGAATTGGAATTGAAATCTACAGATGTAAATAGATTAATGCAATAAAATAAACACTTTCAAATGTATTTTGGACGTGCATGAAAAAAAAAAACATTGGCTTTGTCTGTAGTGTCTTGCTTTAATTTAAATCTGAACAAATGCAGTGCAAAAACATATGCACCAATACTTTACAGTTTAAATGGTATATAATTGGTTTACATTACAACAGTGAGGTTTAGATTTGCATAAGGTTTTTGTATTACAGTATTAAGAATTATGGGGGTAGATATTGTTTGGAACATGACCTGGATGTGTTTGTGAGCTTCACCTTTGTGTCTCACTCACAGAGGTCGACTGGTGGAAATCAGCAGTGAAGGGATCTTCACACACCTCAGAGGACGGTGTCAAAGCACGAAACTCCCTCTGCTGGAGGTTCATGGACATCAGGGCCTCCACAGCTTCTGAATATCTCCCGTCTGAATCTGAGCATGCTACAGGCTGCTAGACGTGACAAAAGGAAATTAAGTGCATTACCATAATTCATTATTATGGTTAAACTTTATGTTAAGGTGTCTTTGTTACAGTGTAATTATACATATAAGTACTGAGTAATATTAACTACATGTACTTACTATATGGTTAGGGTTTGGCTTGCATGTAATTATGCATAATTCATTGTTATTATAATAGTACGTACATGTAACGTGTAACAAGCACACCTTAAAATAAAGTGTTACCATTATTAGCTTTTCATTAAACTCACAAACCGGCAGTTCCTTCACAAACCTCAGTTTGGGAAACCTTGATGTAATATAATGTTTAATGCACTTCATGCTGTTAATAACAGCAGTGGAATAGATTTTCTTTATGTATTTTTATATGAATATGGTACAAGATTATCCTATTTACATCAATGGGATAAACGAGTTAGATCCAAAGTAATCTAAAAGTAGTCTGGTTAGATTACCTCAAATGTGTAATGTAATGGATTACATTATACAATTTTTGTAATTTAAAATCAGTAACAGAACTATATATATATATATATATTTATATTTTAGGGTTGTCAAAAAAATTCGAATTTAAAATATTCGTCGAATTTAAAATAAAAATCCACATTCTAATGCAAAAACGAATTTTAGGTGTACGTTAAGGTTTAATGTTTTTGTTAGCCAATCCAGTTGAAGCCACAAGATGCAGTGCTACTGTGTTGTTAATTACAAATATTGCGGAAAAAGAGAACATCAGTGCGGAGAAGATCTTGTTTACGTCAAAACTGAAACCAAGCCGTTCACACAGAACGCATATTTCGCTCATTTTCTAGAGGGACATCTATCAGCGTTGCACTCGCATCTCGCACAAAAGAGCCGCATGTTTAGAAAGCCATGTAAAATTAATGCAAGTTGAACTTTGTCCAGGCCCTTGTCATCTCTAGGCTGGACTATTGCAGTGCTCTTCTGGCTGGACTTCCATCAAGCACAATCAAACCTCTACAAATGAATCCGAATGCAGCGGTACGACTGGTCTTCAAAGAGCCCATGTTACACCTCTCTTTATCTCCTTGCACTGGCTACCGGTTGCGGCTCGCATCAAGTTCAAGACACTGATGCTTGCATATAGAACAGCCACAGGCTCAGCACCCGCCTACTTCCACTCACTACTACGAATTTACATCCCCTTCAGAAGTCTGAGATCCGCTAGTGAGCGACGCCTCGTGGTCCCATCACAGAGAGGCTCAAAATCACTTTCCAGAACATTCTCGTTCACTGTTCCCGGCTGGTGGAACGATCTTCCCACCCCTATCCGTAACGCTGAATCCCTGACCATTTTCAAGCGACGGCTGACAACTCGTCTCTTTAAACGCTACTTGACTTCATCTTTAAAAAAAAAAACTTTTTCTTTCTCTTTATTTATTCCTTCGCTTTCTAGCTTGTGCTTATTTGAACAATGCCTAAAACTTGGTGTTACGAGCACTCCCTGTGTCTGTTTGCCTCTTTAAGAAGAATCGCTTTATGTATCCCCCAATTGTAAGTCGCTTTGGAAAAAAGCTTCTGCAAAATGACAATGTAAATGTAACTTTGAAAAAACATATCTCGAGACTTTATGGCAGTTTTTTCTCATCCCACTGGATCTCGTGTTTTTAAATGAAAAAAGTACTCTTTGTATTAAACTATGCATACATACATGATGCTGTTTTGTTTATAGTCGTTTAAGCAACTTAATTATAATTGGTTTATAAACATTATTTTAAACATTATGCACTTTTTTTCACAGATAGTCATGTTATCTTATGCTTTGAATAAACGTGCATTAGTAACCGAAATTATGCATTTTAAATTCGAATACAATTCGAATTTTTATAATATTTAAGTACAAAATTAGAATTTAGTTTTTCAGCCATTTTGACAGCCCTAATATATATATGATTATAATATTTACTCCTTTACCAATTTGTATAACTTCACTAACAAATATAATATATATATATATATATAATCAGAATTAGTTTTTAATTAGTTTGAAACAATATTATTCAAAATCAGCTTTTTATAAACGTACTAAATAAATATAATAGGAAAAATAAGGAAGCATAATATGTGCACCTCGGAAAATTAAACATGAAATAATATGAAAAACGGATTATTTTTATTTATAGCAGATACAATTAAAATGAAGTATTAAGTACACAAATGCAATTGGTTTTACTTACGCTTTTAGATATGGATGTCATACTGATGCTGCGTTATTTCTCTCGTTTATCTCTCTGCCTGAAGCCTCATTATGATCAATACTGTCACTGGCTCTGGAACTTGGATTCATTCACTTGTTTCAGAAAGCCGAGCCGGGCCGTCGAGGTCGTGGTGTCGCCTCCAGCCAATCATCGGCGAAGGTGTGCGGAGCGTCAGCCAATCAGGAGCGCGCGTCGCTGCGTGATCGGCGGCTGATCGGCGCGGTGTGTGCGGGTGGTGCACGGCCGCTCAGCTGTGTGTGCAGGAGACTGATGCGCGGATATTTAAGGCGATCCCTGCGGAACCTGATTCAGCTCGGGCGTAGCTCGGGCGTTTACTCACATGTTTTACTCAGCGACCATTAAGAAGCCTCCATTTTCTTCACAACGCTGTGCAATATCTTCCGTTTTTCATCATTGCACCATAATATCATTAAAACAATGTTAAAACCAGTGTTAAACCTACTTTCTACTAACTTCTGTCT